AACTCAAATAACTCAAATAACTCAAATAACTCAAATAACTCAAATAACTCAAATAACTCAAATAACTCAGGTAACTCCGGTAACTCAAGTAACTCAACCATCAAACATTCTAAACCTGAATCCCCCGAAGGACCAAGTATACACTCGGTTAGCTAAACTTTTTTCTCGACTCTTCAAGCCAGCTCGAAAATTTCAAGTACCCAGAAGACCGTGTCTCCGCCTTCGTCGTACATTTCCACGTCCGTTCTCCCCACCCTCTCGACCATCCCCGCAACGGATACTCATTCACGGTGTCGTATAAATCCGCGTGGTTGCGTCGCTCGGGGGGCGGCGGCGCGCGGCGAGAGGTTCGCGACCTCTTATCCGAATTGAAACCTTACGCGTGTAGTCTGACCGGGCACGGTCATTTTCCGCTTCGATCGGTGCCGCGTGGGTCAGTGAACCGGGAGGGGGATCGTGCGCGCGCGTGTTTGAACACACGTGGGGCACGGTGCCCCCTCAGGGGGGTCTGCGTGCATCGTTCGATTTCGACCAGAAAGGGGCGAGGCGGTCCCTGACGACGCGATGCATCCCGATGAATAATCCAAGACGTGCGCCGTCGTGTCCGCCCGGGGAAATGACCCTCGCCCTGCTTCGTGAGAAATTCTTGGCCCCTTCGTCTACCTCGTTGATTAGTCGACGAGAGACGCGCGGATGCTTGGCTCCGCTCCGACTTCGGTTAACCATTTCGCTGTCTAGTTTGTACGGTCTACGAATACCACGAAAAGTGTTAGTGGACGAGGAGAGAGTACTCGGGTAACTAACTCGTAGTCAGTAGGAATATAAGCAGAGGTTTGGGTCCGGTGATCAACAAAGGACATCGTAATGGCAGAAAAGTGACAGCTAACACTATGGATTAGGGTGGATTTACTAATCCACTATTAAATTGGAAGGGAATAGCGAGGTTGCTAACTCACAGTCAGTAGGGCTATAAGTAGAGATTTTCGGTCCAGTGATCCACAAAAGACATGGTAATGACAGGAAAGTGACAGCTAACGTAGAGATATGGATTAGGGTGGATTAGTATATTAGATCAGAAGGGAATAGTGAGGTAGCTAACAGTCAGTAGGGCTATAAGCAGAGATTTTGGGTCCAGTGATCCACAAAAGACATGGTAATGACAGGAAAGTAACAGCTAACGTAGAGATATGGATTAGGGTGGACTAGTATATTAGATCAGAAGAGAATAGTGAGGTAGCTAACTCACAATTGGTGTGACCATAAGCAGAGGTTTGAGTCTGGTAATCAACAAAGGACTACTGTCAGAAAAGTGACTGCTAACGTAGAGGTTTGGGTTAAGTATTTTAGTATAGTAGATAGGAAGGCAATAGTGAGGTAGTACATTTACAGTCAGTAGGGCCATAAGCAGATGTTTGGGTCCAGTGATCAACAAGGGACATCGTAATAGAAGGAAAATAACAGCTAACACAGATGTCTGGGTTAGGTATATTAGTTTATTAGTGGGAAGAGAGTAGTGAGGCAGTTAACTCACAGTCAGTAGGGCTATAAACAGAGGTTTGGGTCCAGTGATCAACAAGGGACATCGTGTAATGACAGGAAAGTGACAGCTAACGTAGAGATATGGATTAGGCTGGATTAGTATATTAGATTGCAACAGAATAGTGAGGTAGTTAACCCTTAGTCAGTACGACTATAAGCAGAGATTTGGGTCCAGTGATCAACAAAGGACATGGTAATGGCAGGAACGTGACAGCTAACGCACGGTTTTGGGTACTGCGGTTAACACGTTGAATTTCCTGAAGGTCAGTGTTGACCGCCAGTCGACTTGTAAGTGGCGGCGTGGTGGTCATCCATGACCATGGGCGTAGCCAGGGGGAGGCAGGGGGGGGCAAGTGCCTGGTCGGAAAAAAGTAGCTTTTGCCCCACCCTACAAGAGAAAAATTAGATTTTGCACCCCACCCCTCCCTTCCCAGAGTTACATAATTTTTGCGTAATGTTTAATATTGCAGCATAATATGAAACATGACCAACAGACTCTATTAACACATTGACTGCCACAGTGAAAATGACCGTACGTAGCCAGACACACTTTATCTCGTTTTTTAAGTCATAAATCGTCGAAAATATATATGTGTAGTTGATAGAGGCTGTTGGTCTTGTTTTAAATGATACTTCGATCTTAATTTTACGCAAAAATTTTATAACGACATTTAAATAATCCAGCTTCTTTGCAATGTACGTATCACCCATATTTGGGTGACGTGGCAGTAAAAGTGTTAACAAAACGACAAGTAATCGAAGTAATCGAAGTAATCGAAGTAATCAAAATAATCGAAGTAATCGAAGTAATCGAAGTAACCAAAATAACCGAAGTAACTCAAATAACTCAAGTAATTCAAGTAACCCAAGTAATTCCTGTAACTCAAATAACTCAAGTAACCCTAGTAACTCCTGTAACTGAACATACATTTCAATGATTTTTTACTTGAAAAACAAAATAAAGTGTGTCTGGCTACGTACAGCCTTTTTCACTGTGGCCGTCGATTCGTAACCTGGTTACGCCCATGCCCGTGACTGCGATGTAAATATTACTAAAAACACTTAGAAAGTATGGTATTGGTAATGAATCTTGTTCTCTCAACTCATTCAACCAGTGATATATTGCAAGTGGTACGTAGTGTGCAAGTAATTGAAGATTTTTCGCAAATTACCACAAACAAGGTGTGCAGCTATTATGTAACTATAAAATCCAGATAAAATATGGTAATTACTATACAACGATCTTCAGTAAAATTTAACGGAATATTCTTAGTTTCTTTATTACATAGTCGAACCATGCATTGGGATAATGAGAATACATCCAGAGAGTAGATTTAGTACACACGCGTAAAGAAGCGAATTTGCATAAATATAAGCTGTTTAATAATTTCTCGTATACAGGCGGAGGTTCGGAAAGATAAGGGTCCGCTTTTATAATACCTGGCCCTGATACGACGCATGAGACTTTGCAGATTACGAAAGAATGCATGGCAAAAACTCCTTTAGCCCTCAAACAGGAAAACTAGATTCCTGTGTAATTCTCGATGTAATAACGTAGCCAAGTTGAAACTTGCATAAACATTGAAATTATGTAAATCTCCTGCCATTCGTTTATCGTTTGGTACTCAATATTACCTAATAGTAGATTCCGGTGTAATTCCCGATAAAATAACGTAACAAAGTTAAAACTTGCATAAACATTAAAATTACGTAAATCTCCTGCCATTCGTTTATCTTTTGATACTCAATACTACCTAACAGTAGATTCCGGTGTAATTCCCGATAAAATAACGTAACAAAGTTAAAATTTGCATAAACATTAAAATTACATAAATCTATTACATTTCCATCTCGATACTCAATAGTACCAAATGGATCACCGAATAGTCCTCTTAACCCTAGAACCACCAAACAAGTCAAAATGACTTGTCAGTACACTCATATAACGATGATTACAATGTTATAACAATATATTACTTCAGATCATTTGCAACGTACATTACGATTTGAAAGTGAAGAAATCAGTTAATTTATAAATTTGTAAATTTCCAAAAGTTTCTCAGATTTATCGACCAGATATTCATTTATCATTGGTAGTTCTAGTATTAAGAAAATCACGTTCATCAATAAATCAAAATAAATTCCACATACAAGTTGCTCCACCATTCCCAATCAACCTTAACCGATCCAGACTTAATATAACTATCATCATCGTATTAACCCACTTCATTAAACAGCACAAAAAAAAACGTTACACCAAATACAGTAGAGCGCAGACAATAGTGTACAATCCACATCAAATAACCGAGCAGAAAACCAGGGTTGTTGGGACAACTTAAGCAAAGAAAATGATTAATAGCAAGTAAAGTATTATAAAAAGTGGGGCCGGGGTCAACATTGTCGCGGCTCGGAATATGTGGCGGCACGTGTCCACGCTATTTTCTAGCCACGGTTCTCGGAGCCAATGAACCTGTGTGTGGTTCAACAGCCACGTGAGCGTGCTCGAGAAGTTTCAACCGTAAGGCGATAAAGCGTGGTTTATTGCAACGCGCGTGCACACACCAACCTACCGTGCAGCCATCCCCCCTCCCACCCTTCTACGTCCCAGGCTCGCGAGGGCGTATCGGGGCTATTGATAGTGATAACGACACAGTGGCCGCGTGCAGACGCACCAGGTGGAGGGGGGTCTCTCTTTTTTGTTTTTCTTTCTTTCTTTCAGGCTGCTGGCCGCGATGAGTAAGACGATAACGGGATTGCGAGCTTGAACGTCGCGTTCCTTTTATCGCCAGCGCTGATAATCTCGTAATTACTTATACCCAACGAAATCGGGGACGGTGTGTGTAGAGTGTAGCCTTTAGTGGATAATCGCTGTTTAATGTTAGGTGTACCGATAAGTGAACCACTATTTCTTTTTCACGAACAGGTAACGCACGTTCTAATTTAAAATATTTATCTGAAACAGCATAGGCTTCGTATTTACTCAAGAATAAGTATTATGTTTTAATGGATTATTGCTAGAGCATTTGACTATTTTAGCATTTTGATTTTTCATTTTGGAGCTTTGTAGTGGTGGAAATATTTAAATTAGCTTTTGTTTATTGTTTGTTTTTATTAGGCGTCAATTTATAAATAAAGATCAATTTTAATAATTATCGGTACAGTTTATTATGTATATACAACTTATAAGCTAGCATAACAATTAAAATAATCATATAACATCGTGGCAGTACGTGACATGTGTTAAGAAATAGCAATATAGAAAAATACAGAATTGACAAATGAACATAAAAATAAAATATAACATTAATTTAAAATTTATCAAAACTAAGCATAGAAATTGTTTGTACAGACGAGTCTTCTAAATTATTGCGACGATCAGTTACGACTAAATTGTATTTATTAAAACATTTTTCCGCGTCTACCCTATTTACAGTACACCAAATTGATTTAATCGTAGCACAACCAAACTCATATTTAATTTTTGTTGCTGCATATCATTCAATTAATTTAATTTCTCAAATCCCTTCAGACATTGCACTAAAACTAGGTAATAAACATTTTCCGTGAAAACTGTAGATTATTCCTGACAAATATTCT